TATTATTCTGTATTGGGTTCAGGAGTACCGCATGGCGGTCAGACAGTCCTGTTCTTTACAAGGTGCTCCCCGATATTTCCAGCACCACCCCCCCCCAACACCATCCATAGTTAAGACACTGTTGACTGTACTTTACATTCCTGTTGTAACGGCCCATCTGCACTTCTCAGTCCCTTCCCTTTTCACCCAGCCCCCCACTCCGCTCCCCTCCACACCCATGTTTCTAATACCTGAGCGACAGGATTATCTTTGAAGCAAGTGCTTTAAGCAACGAATGTCTCTCCATCAAATTGTCGGCAGTTCCGACCACTCTGACTCTCTAAAGGTGACCACCTTCCTCTTTTGGGGGGAGTGACCCTCAGAGGAGAAGATGAACAAAACCACATTAAGGGTCAGTAGCAATTAGGTCAGTAACTAGAGTCCGTAGCTTTTGTCCAGCAACGTCTCCAAGACGGAATTGTCCGCCTTCCCAAACCTCCGGCTCTTCCCTGTCAGAGAGCCGCGCTCTGCGTGTAATCCCGAGCGTGGCCACCCGGTGGCACCCGAGGCCCGGCTCAGCGGTGTCCAGGTGCCACTTGGCACAGAACGCGGCTGCCCCGCTCACATGCTCCTGGCAGAGAGAGCCTGCTACTCTGGCTTCCTTCTCTGGTCCATGCTCTCCGCACCGCACGTGCCCGCATAGGTGTAGGAGGAACTTCTCTGCCACGTCCCTGGGGAAAGACGCTGGCAGCGTGGAGACAGCGCCAGCTCACTGCGGGTGCATGTGTCCCAAAATGTTTCCCCGGGCCCTGGAGGTTACTTCTCTGCCTGCACCAGTGATCACTGGGAGGTGCTGCACTAACCCACGGACAGGCTAACAATGACTTAGTAATGTGATAGCATTTCTTGACATTCCGTATTTCTCTGTAGGTCAATGGACAAAAAGGCCCTCTCAATTATGTTTAATTATCCGAATCCCCAGAATTGTTAAGGTCGTAGTAAATCAATTTCTATGCAAGGAGATTGGTATTTATTACTTAAATTCAAGTTATTAATTGTGTTATGTTGGGTATTCTCTCAACAGGCTGGATTCTTCAAAAGACCGCTAAAGAAGAAAATGGAGAAATGAAATATTTTACAAGAGAAAAAAATAATTATTCAATGATCTTTCCTCAGGTTTGCCTCAAATATGTGACAAGAAATTTATAAATATAATTAAAGACAGTCACATAAGTTTATATAATCCATCAGGGTTAATCACTTGGAAAATGAAGAGATCAAGCAAGATCCAAAAGCAATACCATATATATATTTTATAAAATGATAAAAATATTTTTAAATAATTACTCATTTTTGTTGAGTATTTAAGCAGACAGCATTTTGAAGATGAAGAGTAACCTGTAGAAATATGTTTATATATGAAGTCACCATTCAAAGTATTTAAGAAATGCATAGAAAGGTTTTTATGGTCATTGAAACATTTACGTTCAGAACATTATAAGTTAAGCTTTTTTTTAATGACTCCTCCTCAATATACACCAGCATGAAAGTGAGCCTTGGTAAATGCTGAGGAAGAAATTAACTGAAGAAGGTCACGCCCCCCGCTCCCAGTGGAGAACGTTTCCCGGGTGGGGGCGATCGTGGACCGAGACGGAATTAAACCGCCAAGAACCATGCGTTCGGCAGCCTTGCCTTGGACTCAGTCCTCGGGGGCTCTCTTCCCAAAGCGTTTGGACACTCGTGCGAGTGCGCTGAGACTGTCCGTGGCTGGGAAATCGGGGAAGATGGTTTAACAGCAAGCGCACTGACGGGCTCCGTAAGCTCTGGCACAACATGCCTCATCCTGACCTTGAGCTCGAAGCTCACATTTTCCTACTGAAACCAACAAACAAAATCCCCGAGAGCAGCTTCGTGTCCCGGCAGCGAGTCCTCATGACAAGCCGCGTCGGGCGTGGGACCCGCCGACGTGGACTCTGAGTGGGACGTCGCAGCGGGAACGGCCCTGAGGACGGGAGAGGCCCCCAGGGAGCCCGCTCAGCAGCAGCTCCCCGGCCCGGTCCGGCCGCCCCGCCCCCGGCGTGGGGGGGGGGGGGGGGCTGGCCTTCGTTTCTGAAGGCGATTCGCTGTCCAAGCCTCGGACCCCGGGAGGGGCCTCCCTCCGCCTTGCATGTCACCGGGAAGCCAGGCTTCTGGGCGCGGCCCGAGCAGCACCCAGGACTCCAGAAACGCCTTTCGGGGGACCTCGGGTTTGACCCCTCAGCCCACGGAAAGATGCCACCCGCGGGGTGTGTGGTTGCTCTCGAGGCAGCGTCACGGCGGGGCTCACGTGGCCTGAGCTCCGGCTGCTGCACGTCCGGGCAACTGGCGACGCGGGCACAGCGGCCCCCAGGTACCCGCCGCTGGAGCTGTGCTGGGGCCTCCGCAGCGACCCCCTCTTCCCTCCGACTGGCCGGCACCTGCAGCCGTCAGAAGGCCCTGGCTCCGCTTCTCTCCAAATCAGCAAAGGCGTGAAATGCCCTGGGTCCATTTTTTATTTTAAATTTGTTCTTATTGATTTCAGAGAGGAAGGCAGCGGGAGAGAGAGAAACATCAGTGACGAGAGAATCACTGACCGGCTGCCCCCTGCATGCCCTGCACCGGGGATCCAGCCTGCCACCCGGGCCTGTGCCCTGACCGGGAATCAAACCCTGACCTCCTGGTCCATAGGTTAACAACCACGGAGCCACGCTGGCTGGGCCCTGGCTTTCATTTTTTAAAACTGATTTCTGTGGAATTACCTGGGGCCTCGGGGTCAGCGGTCCCATGGCTCTCCGCATGGACCTCTGCGATCCTGTGGTCAAGGTCAAAGCCAGGCCTCCAAGGTCATCACAGCCGGGAGAAGGGCTAGGTCTCCCCCGAGCTGGCCTCCGCCCGCCGCCTGTGGCTGCAGAGCTGTCCACTTAGGAGTTTTCTCCACCCCCACCCCCTCCAGGTATCCAAACCCTCCTCCCTCCCAACACGACTTCCTTTGCTGAGCCAAGCGCGGCCTCTGACTCAGAGTCACCGGCGCACACGCACAGCGGCCCCGCAGCGCCGCCCTGGGCTCACGCGTCCCAGATGAGCCGGCGGGGAAGGTGGCATTCACACGGCCCCTGAGCCGGGGTGCGCACTTAGACCACACGCTCTGCACGCAAAGGGAGCGGAGAGGATGGCGCTGGGACTCCTTAGAGAGAGAGGAAGGGCTGCTGGGCCCGTCACTCACATGTCACGTCTGGGTTTTAAGCAGAATATTTAATGAGCCTGATGCCCCATTTCCCAAATGTAATCATTTGTTGAGGTTTATGTGTGTCTCTGTGTGTACGCGTGTTTGTGTGTATGAATACACACGCACAGGCACACAGGCACAGAGTCCATACAAAATACCTCACTAGCACCAAGGGGCAGTTTACAGAAAATAAACACAGAAAAGCCACACCAAAAAGAAAGTTTGCTTCATTTTCATGAGCGTGTAACGTGAGCATCCAGTTCTGCAACTAAAAATAAGGCCACGGGTCTCCCTCCCCAAGTACCTCCTACAAACATCCTAGCGTAGTCCGTGAGTCAGAAATAGACTCAACTTTATCATTTAATTTCTAGCTATTTAATAGGAAAAGTAGGTGGAACTTACGCCTGTTTATTAAGTTATTAGCTACGTTCAATTGCGGGATACTTTCTGAGTTGATTATTGCTTACCCTGTGAAATGAACTGTGATGTCCCTTCCTTGACCCAGCCATGATGTGTGGGTAAATTCTTTAACAACTCTCTCTCCAAAGGGAAACATTTTTGCATTATTGTCCCATTTCCCGGTTCTAACCAGTTCAGCCATGGCCACTCCCAAAAGGACCCTCACCGGCTTGCAAAACCCCCGGAAATGTCTGTCGGCCCCTTCTTGAGGCGAATGACTATGATGGACAGACAGGCAGATAGATATGGAGATTTAACACGTTGTACATACACACAGAGGCAAACACAGTGATTATACCTCAAACGATGCCTAACCTACTGATCTCAAGCCCCGCAGACACAGCGCCCAGCTCCCCATGCTTCCCTGTCAGTGTCTAAAACATTAACAGAATGCCCCGGGCCTTGCGGGGGGCGGGGAGGAGGGGGTGCGGCTGGAGCCAGGGTGCGTGATGTGGACGTGAGGCCTGCTCCACGCCCACAGCGCAGCTCTCCAGCCTCCGTGGGGACGCAGAGCGGGGGCGGCAGGGGACGGTCCCCCTTCGTCAGCATCAACCTTCTCTCCCTCAGCGTGAGCCCCAGGGCGCAGCTGGCCCTCTGTGCTCAGTGGTTCTCCCTGAGCAGTGGCTCCTGGGCGATGGAATCTCTGAATGTTTTCTGCTGTAATTGTTCTTGAAATGAAGTTGCGGACGGAGATCTCTTTGACAAAATGTGCTGCTTGCTCCACCGGAGAATTGTGCCTGTAATGACGTTGATGTAGACCCTCTCTCTCTTATGAAACCAGCGTGTGTCAGGCTCCGTTGGAAAGCACAGATTCGCACCCAGAGCCAGGCCGCTGCCCAGGGCCGGGAAGACACGGGGTGGGCGTCGAGGCCGTGAGCAGCACTGCCCCTTCTCGCAGCATCCTCGCCCCCCCTCCCCCCACGGGCCACCGCCTGCAGCGTGAGCGAGGCCCCCAGGTCCCACACTGCTTCACACAGGTCCCCCATGGGAAGGTCCGCCCCGCCCGCCATCTGGTCACCCCACAGACACGCGGTGAGCAGGCGGGGCGCCAGGGGCTTTTACGTTCTTGGTCGAATCAAAGGGTTCTGGCAGATCCATGTGGAAGGCTTTATACCACGCACCTTCCCGAGGCCCCTCCCGTGGTCTCCCCCCCGCCCCCCCAAGGGAGGTTCCAGGCCACGGGAGAGAATGTCTCCACGGGCTCTGCCGGAGGCCCGCTCAGCGCTCTGCGAGGTGATGGCGGGGGTGGCGGATGCGGCTTCAGGCCTCGCCCCTCTGGGCGTCTCAGGATGGCAAGCAGCACACAGAGGGGGAGAGGCAGTGAGCCTCAGAGCGGGACCGTCCTAGGGACAGGACACTGTGGGTTCCCAGCAGCTCTCTACCGTGCGGGGCTCCCTCAGCACCCAGTCCCCCCCTCACCCAGGAAATAACCCAAACAACCCGGGACATGTAGAAGGCTCTGCAATGGCCTCACCGTGACGATGCTGCTTTTTACTAAGAGCAGGGCTGGGAGCGGCAGACTCCACAGCAAACCTGCCGCAGGGGGGAGCACTGGGCGCCCCTTCCAGGCAGCGCTGCCCACAGTCCCTCCCAGAGAACCGAGGCCGCCACACCTGAGCGCCTCAGGGCGGGCCCAGGGCCAGGCCACCCCCACAGCCGGAGGAGAGAGACAGGGGCCGCCGTCCAACCTGGGAACCCAACAAACAGGTCGGCCTCGCTGAGCCGCCCATCAACGTGGGCCTTGAGCTTAGAAATTGCAAAGAAGAGCCTTTCAGGTCAGCCGTGAGGAAGGCAGAGGAGCTGGCTTAGAACCTCCGGGCAGCCCTCTGTCCCCCCACACCTGGCCCGGGGTGCAGGGCCTACTGAAGAGAAGGGACCCTCTGCCCCTACAGGGGCCCCGGCTTCCCTCCTGAACCCGCTGGGTGCCTGGACCAGTCCGCACATCACACACGCACACACATCGCACATGCACATCACACACATACAGACATCACACACATCACACACATACAGACATCACACACATACAGACATCACACACACACACACATACAGACATCACACACATCACACACATACAGACATCACACACATCACACACACACACACACACACACACACACACACACACGCACTCACGCACACGCCCATCTGGCTGAGCCCTGGACAGTACGCAGATGTGCACGTGCCTTGGCCTTCCCCGTCACCCCTGAGCTTGGAGTCTCACTCGAGGCTCCCCTGCCTTTTCCTCCCTCTCGGGCTGGAGAATTTCAGTCCCTGAGCCCCGGGCTCAGGACCTCTGTGCTGCCCGTGGCCCTCTCCCCGCTGCCCCCTAGAGCTGCAGAGGCCACCCAGCCCTGTGCCCCTCAGGCCTTGAGGGGTGACAGGCCCCTGCTGAGCCCCAGGAACCCTCCATTACCTGAGACAGGGGAAATCGAGGCAGTAACCGAGGAACCAGTGACACTCAGCCCATGGCTACGTTTGACGCCAGCCTTGTCCGGGTCACACCTGCGTGAAAGCAGACTCGCGGGAACTGTCGGGCCCCAGGCGGCCGAGGCTGCAATGTGTCCCTTCAGCGGGACCTCACTTCCCTGGGGACGGACGGAAAGGCGAGCAGCAAAGGCAGGTGTCCTCCCCAGCAGCCCTGCTGACGTCACCGGTCCTCACCCCTCTTTCAGGGCAGAGGGTGGTGGGAGGGGGAGGAGGGTGACAGCTCTTCCCTCCCTCCTGGGCCCACCAAGCAGAGGGGAGCCCCCCACCCCGAGGGAACGGGGCTTTCGGAGGGAGGGGGCAGAGCCAGGTGCCGGGCACTGTCCCCCCCCAGCACCTTGCCTCCGGGGAGAGAGGATAAAGGAGGCGGGAGGAGAGGGCACTGTGACATCCTCCTCCTCCTCCTACAAAGACTGAACTCCCCAAGGCTGCCTGGTCCCTGCCCCAGCGGCACAGGCGCTTCCACTGCAAACGGCTGAGTCGGTCCCGCACCAGGCACTCTGCCCGCCGCGGGGAGCTGCACAGGCCACACGGGGCTCCAGTGAAACCAGCGTGGCAGCAGCCGCAGCTCACCCCCCTTCCCGCGGGGGCCGGTTCCCACACTCGTCCCCACTCCCTGTGCGCTTCTGACACGCCCGCCCTGGTCGGGACGCGACACCCCGCGCCCCGTCAGCCGGCGAAGGCCGCAGGAGACGCTGTCCGTGTGCTCCTACTGTGCGCTTGTGCAATCGCTCGTGGACAGGGTGAAGAACTGTGCCCACTGTGTCAAAGGAGAAGCATTGTATGGAATAACTACTGCCCCACACGTCACGTGCACAGCAATAAACTCTGCGTGGTCTACCACCGAGAGCTCGTGTTGCTGGTCTTTTAACTATGTTTATATTCATGTTTAGAGCGAGAGGAAGGGGAGGGGATAGAGAGAGAGAAGTGAAAGTGGGACATCATCCATGGGCCGCCGCCTGCACGCCCCCTGGGGGGGATCGAGCCCGCAACCCGGACATGTGCCCTGACCGGGAATCGAACCAGCGGCTTCTTGGTTCCTGGGCCGATGCTCAAAGGCCGAGCCCGGGCCGGGCACAATGCGCAGTGTTTTATGTGCCGCAGAGTAAACTGCGCGTTTCTACGAGCCTTTTTATGGGGCAAAGTGACTAGAAGAGCAAAGAAGGGCGACCTCTGTAGACTCTAGTCCTTTATGAGGGACCTGATTTAAGCCCGTGTTTTAAAGGAAGTCAGTTATGGGGTAGCAGTGAGTTAAACGGGTAAAATTAGAACGAGCTGAGCGAGCAGGCGCTTTGCGAATATCCTGCGGGCAGCGTCCTGTGCGCGGGTTCGAGGCCGGAGGCCCGGTGCTTCTGTGTGATTCTCGCTGACCTTGTGCATCGGCTGTGTGTTTTACGGCAGGTGGACGGGCATCCTGTCGTCTACGTTAAGTCAACAGTGACTCAGAGGAGGCTGCGGTCACTGTGACTCCAAGTTCGCGAGTTTTACCCGGGACGAATGTGTCTTTTTACTTATTAATTTGTTAATTTACTTTAGCTCCTCGGGGCTCCAGGGGGCGGCGGTGCATTTAGCCCGTCTCCGGTGTTTCCTGGGCACAGCACATGGCGCTGCGGTCAGCTTTTTGCAAACTCGAGACAAAAACCACAGAACCCATCTTGCCGCACATCTTCCCCTAACGAGAGCTTTCAATAATAAGTTCTCTGCGGCGGGGTGACCCACGGGACCACACAGCGCGGAACAAACAAATACGGAGAAGTCAGAGGGGTTAGGCGCTTTGTCGAGCTGTAGTCTGAAGAAATGAAGTCATTTCCTAGGGAAGGGCTGGCAGGAGATCCAGGGGAACTGTGCAGTGGGAATGGCACGGGTCCGCCTTGCGGAAGATTCGTCCGCAAGCTCTGCAGCCGCTGCGTGTGAGCTGTTCTTCCAGCAGAAGCGACGGTGCTCTGAGAGGGGATTTGTGTTTTGGTTGTTGTTGTTTTAGGAGGGGAAAGTATTTTTATTTTGTAATCCTTATTGTTGGAAGTATTGCACAGGCCCCTTACCCTGCTG